GGGGGGGGTGGAGATGGGGGGTGAGGGAAACCCCAACCATACCAGGAAGCCTGGAACTTTCTACCATCCTGATTAGAGAATCACAGGGTCTGAGGAGTCCGTACATCAAGCAGGAGAGCACAGGGGTGAGGAAGACCCAGGCCCCGGCCGCCTCCCCCCTACACGCTCCTCAGATAATCCCTTGGTCTCCTTTTGCCCAGTCAGAAGACGGTCAGGTCATCTGGGCTCTCTGCTAAAAACTTTGTAAAGAGAAATAAGATACCTGGCCTAAGAGCATATGAAAGGGCACATATAAAACCCATCTCCAGCCCTGGCCAGTGTGGCCCAATGAATAGAGCATCGGCCTGCGGACCGAAGGGTCCCGGGTTCAATTCCGGTCAAGGGCACGGACCTCGGTTGCAGGCCCCTCCACCGCCCGGGGCCCTGGTCGGGGCACGTGCAGGAGGCAACCGATCGATGTGTTTCTCTCACATCGATGTTTCTCTCTGTCTCTCCCTCTCTCTTCCACTCTCTCTAAAAGATCAATGGGGAAAAAATGTCCTTGGGTGAGGATTAACAAAACAAAACAAAAACAACCACAACAAAAAACCATCTCCATGGCCAAAGGCACCACTCCTTTCTCTGCTCTGCGCACTGTTGACCGTCTCACTCCTAGAGGCTCAAAGGAGGGGCTGGGGACAGACTGGGGCCTGGACGGGCGGTGACTGGGAGCCTGTCACCTCTGGGGAGCGCCAGGCCTGGCCCCACCAAGGCCCCCAGGCCCTGCTGCCCCCTCTCCCACCTCTGCTCCCGCCGGTCTTAGCCGCTGATTCACACAGTTTCCCTCCCTTTCTCCCCACCACCCCGCCAGGCAGGCACCGTTAATCCTCACTGACAGCGGGGAACCTGGGGCCAGGCAGGCTGTGACTTGCCCGGAGCCACTCACTGCAGACCCGAGGGCAGGTCTGCCTGACTCCGGTGCCCACACGGAGGGCAGGAGCCGGCCAGTCTCCAGGGGTCACAGCAGACGGGGGCTGGAGGGGACAGAGGCCCTCGGGCCCCGTGATGCTCTGGAGGGAGCAGGGCTGGGGGGTCTGAGGGCTCCAGGCGCCTTGCTTGGCACAGAGGCCACCGCAAGGTTGTCACTCGGCCCTTTGCTTCCAGTCACAGCTGCGAATGAGCTGGCCTGCCGAGGCCTGGACCACCTGGAGGAGAAGATCCCGGCCCTCCAGTACCCCCCTGAGAAGGTGAGCCCCTCTCTCTTCTCTCAGGGGAGCGGGGTGCGGACCCTGGATGCCCTGGCCGGGAGTCGTTCATTTCCGTGGCGAGCGCCTTCCCGGGCTGGGGCGGCTGGCTGCCCCTCGGGCCACGCACTGCCCTCCTTCCTGGCCCCGTGGAGCCGAAGGAAGGCAGGCTTTCTGGCACCAGCAGGTACAGGGTGGGTCCCCTAATCCCAACACCCCCCACCCCCCCGAGACTCCCCGGGGGCCTGCATTGGACCCAGTGGTGTCCGCAGCCACCTAAGATCCTGGTCACACCCGCAGAGCCCAGGATTGCAGGCCCATGTCCTCCAGATCAGCGGTCACCAATGGTGGGCTGTGAGGTCTGAAAGGTGGGCGACCACTGTATGGGCCTGAGGCTGAGGAGGCACGGCCCCTGGATACATAGTTGCTGGGTATTTGTTATGGTAACTAAGTCTCATCCCACAGACGCCAGGGCCGCAATGGGTGATTTCTAGAGCTGTGTCATGTCACCCTCCTGTCAGTCGTGGGGGTGGGTGGTTGTCCCCATTTTACAGATGGAAAAAATGGTGACTTCCTGCTGGTCACAGCCTCAGGGAAGGCCCTGAGATCGGGTCTGTTTGGCTCCCAGGCCTGTGCTCTGCTGTGTTCTTTTTTCCCGATGAAGGGCAACATCTTTGTCACAAAGGAGGTCCCAGGCTAATGGGAGAGACACATTCTTTTCTTCTTTTCTTTTTTAAATCCTCACCCGAGGATATAATTCCATTGATTTTTAGAGAGAGTGGAAGAGAGAGAAAGACAGAGAGAAACATTGATGTGAGAGAAACACATCGATCAGCTGTCTCCTGCACGGACCCCGCCCAGGGCCCAGGCCGGGGAGGAGCCTGCAACCAAGGTACGTGCCCTTGACCGGAATCGAACCCGGGACCCTTTGGTCCGCAGGCCGATGCTCTATCCACTGAGCCACACCGGCCAGGGCGAGAAACGTTCTTTCATTGCAGAACGTGCAGGAAGCTCAGCCACATCCATAAATTGCTGTAGATGCAGCCGGGCTGTGAGCAGTGCTCTGAAGGGAGGTCAGAGCAGATGGAGAAGTTTGGAAGAACAGACGTCTGTGATGCATTTCAGAGAGGAAGGGAGAGGGAGAGAGAGAGAAACATCAATGATGAGAGAGAATCATGGATCGGCTGCCTCCTGCATGCCCCCTATTGGGGATCAAACCCACAACCCGGGCATGTGCCCTGACTGGGGGTCGAACCGTGACCTCCAGGTTCATAGGTCGATGCTCAACCATTGAGCCACACCGGTTGGGCTCCCCTGGGCCTTTCAAGCACCTAACCCTCCTCCCCACTCCCCCAGATCGCCTCCGAGCTGAAGGGCACCATCTCCACCCGCCTCCGCAGCGCCCGGAACAGCATCAGCGTGCCCATCACCAGCACGTCGGACAAGGTCCTGGGGGCCGCCCTGGCCAGCTGTGAGCTCGCCTTGGGGGTGGCCAAAGACACTGCGGAGTACGCCGCCAAAACCCGAGTGGGCCGGCTGGCCTCCGGGGGCGCCGAGCTGGCCGTGGGCGGTATGGAGAAAGTGGTGGACTTCCTCATCCCTCCAGCCAAGGACGAGTCAGGTATCTGCCCGCAGGGGCTGCCAGTCCCTCCCTGGGGAGTGAGTTGGCCGCTGGAAATGAGCAAAGGGGGCAAGGGCTCATCCAGCCCCTGCTCCGGAGCAGGGGAGGCCCTGCAGGGTTTCCAATGCACCCATCCTCGCTTAGCCCGTCTCCTATTTGCAAGCAGGGAAAGTGGGTGGCCCAGGTCACCATGAGCCTGGGGAGCTGGGACAGCAGCGGCAGCCCTAACCCAGCCCAGCTTTCCCTGCGCCTCTGATCCGCCCTCCCTTCTCTCCCCCCAACTCCTCCCCAGCCCCCGCTCCAGGACGCCAGCAGGCCCAGAAGCCTCCTAAGACCAATCGCAGCCTCATGAGCCGGGTGGGGAACCTGGCCAACACCGTCTCTCAGCACACCTTCCAGACCACAAAGCAGGTGCTGAAGCAGGGCCACGCCCTGGCCATGTGGATCCCCGGGGTGGCGCCCCTGGTGAGTGTCTGCCCTGAGCTCTGACTGCCCCCCCCCTGCTCCCCACAGCCTGGGCTGGGACTTTAGGCCTAAGGACAAGAGGGAAGGCCAGGACGCAAGCTGAGGGTCCTGCCCCACCACCCGTTCTCCCACTGGGTCCCATCCCCCTTCATTTCCCTAATTGGGCCTCTCGCTGTGGGACCTCCCACCTGTGAGGGAGCAGAAGTCACTCACCGCCCCCCCTCCACACACACACACACACAGCTGCTGTCCAGGCACTCGGGCGTGTCACCTGTAAATAAACAAGGCACAATCCGTTCTGTTGGGGAAGCTCTAGCTGGGCGGCATCTGCCTGCTCCCAGGTCTCTGATTCCCCTCTGGAGGCGTCCGATTTGTACCCCCTGCACCCGAGGTAGAGCCGCCTTCCTAGGCCCAGGGAGGGGCAGCTTCTCTCTTCCCCCATCTCTCTGTGTGTTTTAGCAGAGATGGGCTGGACTTTTAAAAAACATATTTGTAGTGCTTTCAGAGACGAAGGGAGAGGGAGAGAGAGAGAAACATCAATGATGAGAGAGAATCAGGGGATCGCTGCCTCCTGCATACCCCCACTGGGGATCGACCCTGCAACCTGGGCATGTGCCCTGACCGGGAATCAAACCGTGACCTCCTGGTTCCTGGGTCAATGCTCAACCACTGAGCCACACCAGCTGGGCTTGGCTGGGCTGGGTTTTTTCATAGGGAACTTTAGTAAGAAACTAAGGCCGAAAAGGAAATAAAGGCAGTATTAAAGCATCGAGGTCAGCAAACACATTTCAACCATCATCCGGGTAATCTTTTTGAAAGCATCGCCCATTCACTCAAGCTGAGAACCTACTGTGCGCTGGGTTCTGCGGCTCCAGTAGGAAGGCACCGCAGGGCCATTTACCAGTGGGGCCTGCTGGTCTCCTCCCATGGGACTCTGGCCCACCTGATTTTGTCACTCTGTAAAGATCTGCAGCCACTTACTAGAGTTACACACACATCTCCCCAGTGACCTGGCAATCCCGCCAGCAGAATGAGAGCTGATGTCCCCCAAGCGACAGGTCAGAAACATTCCTCTCAGCTGTACCCTTGGCCGAGAACTGAGAACAACTCCGATGGCCGCCAACAGCAGAATGGGCAAATGTGGTCCATTTCGACAGTGGAATATTACACAGGAGTGAAAAAGGGGGGCCACTTGGGCCTGCAAAGCATGCGTAAACCTCACAACATAGTGCTGAACCAAAGAAGCTCTTCCTGAAAACACTCAGTAGGCGTCCATTTAGGTGACGTTCAGAAATAGGCAGCACCAGTGCCTGGTGAGAGGGCAGGAGGTCACCCCCGGGGTACTGAGAAGGTGGGGGTCACGGGAGCGCCCTGGGCTGTTGACAGTGGTCTCCGTCTTGACCTGCGCTGATCACACAGGCCTGTGCCCTGTGGGTCACTTGCCTCAGTGAGAAGTTCTAAGAACAGTCCCCTGGGGCCAGGCCCTGTGACTTCCCCTCTCTGACCCGGGGGAGGGGGAGGCCCGTTGGCTGTGGGGCTGTGATGCCAGAGCCCCGCCCCCGCCGCCTTGGCACCCGCAGAGCAGCCTGGCC